GGGGGGGGGGAAGGGAGATGGGACTGCTGAACAAGACGTGAACAAAGCGGGGGAGAAGGGAAGGAAAGCAGGATTAGATGCACGAGAGTAGTGAGAGACATGGAGGAGGGGTAGAAGCTCACCTCTCTCCTGCAAGCGGTACCACAATTCTCGGCACGATGGCTACACCACACGGTTCAGTTCACAGCTCGTGTGGGGGCGCGGGTGTGGGGGGCGCGGGTGTGGGCGGCGCGGGTGTGGGACGTCAGGGTGGCGTAGACGGCGTAGCCATTACCGTCCAAGTTACACCAGCTGTCCAGAGTGTGCGACAGGCCAAAGAGACGCGTTCCTGATGCAGAGAATCCACTGGCCTTGCAGGATAAGCTCAGTTTTTTTTAAGCCAATTGAAATCCGACCGTGCAGATCCGTCATCTTGACGGCTGAAAGTCATTTTGATGGAATCTCCGCTTATCCTGCCCGTAGTGGTTCCCCCGAATAGAACGGACGGTCATTGCAGCTATATTTTTTTGTGTGTGTTTTTCCTTTTTTTTATGTTTGGGGCATCTACTACAGGTTTGGAGCAACCTTTTTCCTGGGTCGAGGTCCCAATAGCAAGCAAAGAGGATTGGATTGAACGCCTTAATTTGGCCGCGTTTGTGGACAGGTGCAGAAAATACCGCTTGAACTCCTTTTCTGCATCTCTGCCTAAAACACGCCCAGATTCAGGATCTTAATCCAATCCCCGTTGCTACCGTGGGACCATGCTCCTGCTCTTCGTTCTTTCTTTCTTGAAAATTTGCGAAATCGCCCTGAAAGCTCACGTATGGGCAGAGGTATACCGCTCGAAAGTTGTGGGTAGATCGGACGGAATACCCCTCCAACGTTTCAAAGGTTTGTGAAATATCCCCCCGTTGGATTGGACCCATCATCTTTGCGTTACATATATTACCCCTACCTTTGTACCTGCCAAGTTTCCGAAATGCCCCAGTAGCACCAAGCTTTATAAAGGGCCTACCGGTAGCCACACCACTCTCGTAATGTGAAAAAGACAAAAAAGTGGCGGGCGCATCTGGCCATGTTGTAGGGGAAACTTCATTCTCGTTTTGCACATTTCGAGAGTGGTGTGGCTATGCCCAAAGGGCCGGATATTTGTCATCTGTTCACTTTGCCCTGGAGCAGCTGAGCTGCTGCTTGTTGATTGCCTATCATCCCCCACTTGTGGTCGGGGATGAGGAAATGACGGTTGGATTCCACCCGCGCAATTTTTTTTATTTTTATTTTTTTTAATATGGACCAGTTCTCGATTTTATTTTATTTTTTTATTTTTATTTTTTTTTCGAATGAAGCGTTTATTCCAATGAGAAAAATTCGAGGCCGGGGACCTCACAATTAAACCCGGAGTTATCCTGGCAGCATCAGCCAGTTTAGCTTACAGTCCAATGACTGGAAAAACTTTACCTTTTCATATCCTCTGAACAAAACCTTTAACCTTGCGTAAACCAAAGGACCAACTTACACCAACTTACTAACTCCATTCAACACCTGCAAACTCAAATGTGATATACCATGCACCTTAGAACAACTACAATACTCTCTACCTATCTACCTACTGTTCACAGACCTCAAGCGGTCTGGGACTCGGCCTAGCAACGGCCGAGGGGAACCCTGGTTCCCTTCTACCCCTGGACACTCTCCCTGCACCACCCCCCTTTACGGTTTACCGCAACCGTCGACTGGAACCGAGTGCCCTGGTTCATTCCCTAAGCCTAGCCTATCCCCTACCCGTGCTCTAACCAACCACTAAAGACCAGACTCCCTCCCGTAGAGATAGATACTATCTTGTCACTCTGGGCCCAAGTGTTCCGAAACCACTCCAGACCTTTCATTCGCCTGCCCGCTTCTGCTTTCCTGGACCAGTCCGCACTGATTGCTGTGACCAGGAGCCCTCTGAACTTCGCCTCCGCTTGTTTTTCTGGGATGACTTCTCCATTGAACCTGAGGCTGTTCCGGTCCAGCCAGACGACCCACAGCATCGCCGCTCTGGCTATTTGAGCCACATAACCCCACCCTTCTCTGCTGCTTTGGTTCTGAGGCATTCCACCCAATAAGACCCATCTCTGACCTGTGAAAATCTCATCACCTGTGATCCACCTCCAATACTTCTCCCACCAGTCCCACCATTTCCTTGACTTGGGACAACCCCACCAAAGGTGGCTCATTGATTCCTGAGCGGCAAGGCATCTGGCACACCGGGGATCAACCTCCATCCCTTTCTCTCTCAACCACAGCGCAGTGGGCACCGCGAGATGTGATTGTAACCACAGCAGAGAAGCCAGCTTCTGAGACGGGATGTCTTTAAGCTGGGTCCACAGTCTGAGAAGTTCCGGCTCAGACGAGGGGGCGAGATCCGGAACCGCTTTTTCCCAGCGCTGAGCAATCTTTTTACAGCGTGCACCGGGGGACGATGACCTCATCATATTTAACGCAGAAGATAAAGACTCCAGCCCCTTGATGCAGGACTCTTCCACATGCCAAAACCAGACTGCTGGATCAATCCTCAGTTCACGGAGAGTAAGACCGTTCCCTACCAAGCAGGGAATATGAGGTAGCCCTTCTTGAGGTGGAGGTCTAAGTTTCACCCTGATTTCCTCCAAGTCTGTGAGCCCGTACTTCAACTGTATTCCGTACCTCTCCAGCTCAGGTTGATTCGGGTGAACCCTTTTGTAGGTTTCCAACCAGCATTTTCCCAACCCGTCTGCAGTCCAACTTTCCAACCTGCAGAACCAAACCGCATCCACATTGTCCCACTTGTACCAAGTACCAGGAGGATCCACACCTTCTGGGCCTAGAAGGCTCTTCCACTGGACTGGGATCGCTTCCAACAGTATGTTCCGGTAGCGCTAACGCAGCGCTATTCGGAGCGCTAATTTGCGCACGGGTGGAGTTGGCGCGAGCACTACACGAACACTCAAGGCCCGGGGAGCACGGCGGTTGGCAGATTTTTCTGCTCTAAGTCCAGTGCCAGCGGGTAATACTGCTTCGACCACCATCACGAGTCACCGCCATGATGACCGTGCTGTTTCTAGCCTTCGTGCTTGGCACTTTCCGAGTGGGCTCCTGGTATGGAGGAAGGCAGGATGGGTTGACCCTTCGGTAGGATTTAACACGGGTTTTATCGGTCATAAGGAGTTGCGAAAGGGATGGTTGTTGTGAAGATCTTAAGAGACTTAGCAATAAGCGCGCGCCGGGAGGCGCTCGCTTTTGATGCGTCGAGGTGGGAATAGCCTCCGTTTGGAATAGGACAGCTCCTCGTTTTCGGTAGTGAGCTCTGTTCAAAGGGTAAGTTACTAAAGTGAGGGCGGTATGGCGGAAGTAGACAGGGCTCCACATGGTCAGCATAGCAGAGCTCGATCTCCCCCGGGCCACTCTGACATCCCAGTGTCTGATGAGGATAGGCTTCGCCTGCTTATTTCGAAATGTTACGATGACGGGATTCTCCCAGAGAAGTTTAGGCATGGCGAGTGGAAGATCGAAGGGGGAATCAAAACCTTCGTGGTCAACCCCCGTCTGGATGAGTTGACCATGAATTGGTTAAAGGAAAGAACGGTGACAATTATTTTTCAGGGAGCAGCGAGAGATTTGCCAATGAAGCTGAGGGAGGATCTTATCAGAGCGTACGAGAATGGTTGGTATAGGCAGAGAATTTTTGATCGTACTATCAAGAGAGGGAGAGTACACGCAGAAGGACCGAATGTGGTCTCCTACGTGGAGAAATCCAGGGAGGTGGCACAATGGATGATCGCGAAATCTGAAGACAGTGTGGTAATCAGAGGGATTGAGTACAATATGATCTTCAAGCCCTGGCTCACCAAAACTGAACTGGAGGAGAGAAGAAGACTGGAGGACGATTCCAAGTTTTGGGTGATGACAATCTGGGTTCCGCTGAGGGCCATGTTCCATGTGGAGAGCATGATAGAGACATCGATGGGCCACGTTATTAACAGTCTTCCACCGGAACAAGACAAAACTAGACCTAAACCGATGAACTTGAAGTTCGACCTGGTCAGAGAGGCAGAGGAGAACTTTGAAGCGGAACTGCCAATCAGGTTGGGAAATGAAGTGTTGCAGATCAAGTTTGTTTGCAAGCATACCCCTTGGTGCACGAGGTGCAGGTGGTGGTATCATACATCTGAGGAAGGGTGCCCGAGAGTGGAGGAAGATGGTGCCGAGGGAAACAGCGGTCAAAGGCAAGGCGATAACTTCTCTAATCGGAGTCAGGGACCAACGGAGGACCGCCACATCCGGACGGCGGCGAGGGAAGCCTTCCCGCGGCAGGAAGGTCAGGATCGTCAAGAAAGACCCGGAACGGTAGGCCCATCTCGTATCCAAGGGGCATCGCAGGACGCAAGGAGAGGGACTGCTGGGCAGCTCTCTGCCCGTGCCACTCGGTCAGCGGCTCCACAGTTCTCAAGAGGAAGCGGCGGAGTTGTTCAGGACCGAAACAAAGGGGATGCTTCGAGGGATCTGCCCAGGTCACATGCTTCTGGTAGGGAGCATGTGGTTCACCAGCAGGGGCAATTTCTACCCCCCCAACAAATGCCTAACGCCGGTTTTCACCCATACATCCCCCCATGGGGCCCGATGGGTTGGCAAGGCATGGGGTATCAGCAGCACAATCCGGTTCTCTCAATCAATCTGCCACAGTTCTACAATATTTACGGCACTGGCCAAGGCCTGAACTATCTAGCGCACGATGTCGGCAGAAGGGATCTTATGGTGGATTATGGAGGGGCAGACCATCGAGCGAGAATCAGGCAAGGAGATGACGCTTCTAGAGCAAGGGGACATCAGATGGTTTAGTCGGACGAGGAAGTTGACCCTGGGGACAACCAAGACTCTGAGGCATCATCGTCGGAACATTCCCGTATGGAGGCCTCACCAGGCAGGATACCAGAGGGTGCTGACGCAGCCGGGAGTGACGGTCGGCAATTTGAGGAGCAGATCTTGCTCCCACTGGTCTGCTCAATGCAGGATCAAAAGGTCTACGTTATTGGCCTGCTAGATAGAGATGACAGACTGATCCTTCCAACAGCTGGACTGTCTGATATCCGGATGCAGTCAACTGTCAGAGAACAAGTAAAATAGTCGTTTGCGGACCGCTTTGAATTCAGATTGTTCCCTGATTTCTATATGCCTAAACTTAAAGTTGAACTGGATGGAGGCAAAGTGGTCAGATACACAATCGTTTTTATAGATTCCAGGATCTCTTCGGAGGCCTGGCCTGGCCTGAGACAGGTAGGTCTGGACTTTTTCTCGTTGGAGGCCTTGTCCGAACCCTTGATTGATCTGTTGACAGAGGTTGTAGTGGAACCAGGTGTTCCAGCCTCCTTTTTAGTTGATCTGAACCCAAATATGCCCAGGTCAAGCAATCTCACCTCGAAGGCCTTCCGTGCTTGCCTTACTACTGATTGGGAAACCCCTACACAGTCCCAAGGTTTAGGGGATACACGAGGCATCAACCTCTCGGCGGCAGGAATCCAATCCACAGTTCCTGGCAGCTCTTTGAATGGGTAAAGTTCAAATAGCTACTTGGAATGTACAAGGGTTGGGGGACTCCAATGGGAGAAGGAAGGGTACTCGTCTTAAGAGTTGGGCGCATCGGAAGAGAGTGGATGTTTTACTGTTACAAGAAACCAAGCTTTCGGAGGCCAAATTGGCTCAGCTAAGGGACTAGTGGGACGGACCCCAATTGTGGTCCCCTGCTAGAGAGTCGAAAGGGGGAGTAGCAATCCTTATCCACAACCGGATCGAGGCTAGACTTCTGGATAGGGACAGCGATGCTTGGGGCCGATGGTGCTGGGTAAAACTGACAATCGGCAACCAAGAGTGGCTCTTTGCGACCGTCTATGCTCCGAACAAATCAGGAGAACGCAGCAGATTCTTTCAGCTGCTTCCGTACGTTCTTCCAAGAGCGGACCGAATGGTGGTAGCTGGAGATTGGAATACAGTCTGCACTCCAGGCCTCGATTCAGAAAAGGAGGAAGCAATGACTCCGGATCGGCGCCAGCTGTTGAAGTGGATGGAGGAGTGGGAGTTGCAAGATATCTTCAGGGAACTCTACCCCACTATGCAGTCGTTCACTTTAGTAGGTCGTACGCCCCAAACTCAGGGGTCACTTGTCGGCTGGATTTTTTTCTAGTTTCGGCAGCGGCAAGGAGTGATGTCCTTCAAGTTGAAGCAGATAATTACCCCTTGTCTGACCACAAGGCAGTTTTACTGACTTGCACCATGGACACGGTGGCAGCCAGAGGCCCCGGTTACTTCAGACTGAACACCGAGCTGTTGAACGACGATGGGGTAACTTCCTGGATTTCCAATTTCTAGCATCACTGGAAGGGGCTCAAATTACAGTGTGAGTCCGCTGCGGAGTGGCTGGATGCAGGCCTGAGAGTAATATCCCTCAAACTGGACTCTTTCTCTCAGATTGCAGCATATCAACGCAACAAGGAAGAATCGGACCTAAGGGCCAGATTGGCGGAAGCGGAAAGTATGCTGGGACACCACCCGGTATCTGATTTGTCCTGGGCAGAGGAGCGCAAGGTAAGACAGCTGGACTGGGACAGTTGGCAGCATCAGAAAGAAGAGAGATTGATCAAGATTCTCAAAATCAAGGGAGTGATCACGTCAGATCGGGTAACGAAAGAGACCTTCAAACGGCTCCTCCCCAAGTCTAAAGCGGTGCAGATGAGGGAGTTGGTCCATCCACATCAGCTAGGGAAACCAGTGGCTACGTCAAATGAGGACATGTGCAACTATGTTGTAGACTACTACCGGGACATCATGACTTCACGCAGACCATATGACGACCTTGATAACAACATGGCGGAGGGTTCAACTCTGTGGAACAATGTGACTACGCGCCTCCCTGACTGCGGTAAGACCTGGTTGGACAGACCGATAACAGAGGAGGAGCTAACGGTCACCCTCCAGGTTATGGCCCGGGGAAAAGCGCCCGAAGATGACGGCCTGCCGGTAGAGTTCTATGGAGTTTGCTGGGAGGATCTGAAGTCGGATCTGGTGGAAGTCTACAACGCTGTCCGGGAAGGTGGCGGACTGGGGCGGAAGATGACGAGAGATATCATTTCGCTTCTCTACAAGAAGGGCGAGTGCAGCGAAGTGCGGAACTGGCGTCCGATTTCTCTTCTTAATGTAGTCTACAAACTGTTGGCTAAGACGTTGGCCATCAGACTTGCTGACTACCTCCCTGGTCTGGTCCATCGGGACCAGGGAGCTTTCGTGCGGGGCCGCTCAATTTTTGAGAACATGGTGACAGTTATCGAGGCACTAGAACTGATTGAGAGGGAGGAACTAGATCCGGCAGTGCTGCTACTGGATCTAGAAAAAGCCTACGATAGAGTCAACTGGACCTTTGTCCTAACGACTCTTCGCTTCATGGGTTTCGGGGAGTGTTTCTGCCAATGGGTAAAGGTGTTGTACGGGTTTTCCACGGCAACAGTCTGTGTCAATGGGGTGATCTCAGAGGAGTTTGCTCTTTCACGCTCATTACGGCAGGGCTGCCCATTGGTGCCCCTGTCGTTTGTACTCCACCTAGAACCCCTGCTGTGCAATATCCGTGCACATCCAGATATCATTGGTTTATGTGATCTTGGAGGGAAAGAGAGCCGGGTCAAAGCCCTGGCGGATGATCTGTTTGCTATCTCAGTGAATAGCGATCGATCTCTGGGGGCACTGAAGAGCTGCCTGGCAGATTTTGCAGAGCTATCCGAGGCAGCAGTTAACTGGAACAAGTCGGTTTTCTTCTTACCGAAGCAGTTCTCTCTTTCTGTCCAATGGGGTATAGAGAGAGTGGAAGCAGACAGAGTTGAGCGGTTCTTGGGTATACAGGTGGCACTTGACGACTGTTCGGCCTCCCAGGACATCATACTGCAGGAGAAGTTCTCTAAAAGGGTGAAAAGTTGGGGAAAGGCCCAGCACCTCTCTCTTATTGGGAGAGCACTCGCGGTTACGGTCTCGGCCTTTGCCCTGCTTTGGTATGTCGTAGCAGTCAGAAGGCTAGGTCCACCTCTTACCAAGACTGTAAGAAAGGTTGCAAGAAGGTTTATTTGGAAACCGGAGGGAGACCCGGCGAGTGGTTTTATTTCTAAGGTGGCTTGGGAGACTGTTTGCTCTTCAAGGGAGGAAGGGGGTTTGGCTCTGATTGACCCAGGCACACATAACACCGCCCTGCTGGCTAAGTGGATTGTCCGGGGGGCTACAGCTGAAGAACAAGCAGATTGGATCATGCTGGCGGAAGCGTTGCTGGCCAACGAGTGGAAGCTGTCTAGGCCTTCGGATGTTTGGGTAGCCATCATGTCAGATACTTGTGCCTATAAACGCCCAAGGTCAAGGTTTTGGAGAGAGGTCCTGTTAGCTTGGAGGAAAAGCAAGCCTACAGGCATCAGCACCCCTACTACCAAGGAGGAAGTGCGCACACAATGTCTGTTTGAGAACAACCACTGGAACATCAGAGGGGTTGATGGTAAGTGGATACCACTGGCCAGGGAACCTGGTGCCTTCGGTCAGAGCTGGCTACAGAAAGGGGTCTCGATGGTGGGTGACCTCTGGGACGACTCGACGAACAGTTGGAAGTCCAGCCAGCATTTGAAAAGCACTCTGGGTCAATTGCCTAGGCAAGAGGGGCATCTGCACATACTGTTGGAAGCGATCCCAGTTCTCGATTTATGCATGTCATTCTTTTTTTTTTTTTTTTTTTTTGACCTATGCAGCCCCAAGGGGATTTTTTTTTTTTTTTTGGGGGGGGGGACATGCTGCACATGCTGGGAACCGGGCCCAAGGTCCCATTAGAAACAATATTTGAGAACATGTACAAAATAATTTGAGATACCGGGGCCATTACCCGGCTTCGGCTGAGAATAGGATCATGAGCATTCAGAAAAAGTCGAAGAAATCTGAAAAACTATGGGATGTTTCTTTCTGAAAGAACCAACAAAAACCAAACCAGAGTGGATGACGCTCAACCATCCAAACCTCAACTGGCTTCGACCTCCCTCCTCGATATCAAGACTCTTCAAGGCCTCACACCCCCAACTGCTAGGTTACGAGTCAGCGCGACCTGCCTCAGAAGACTCCCATCTGTTAGGCTGCAGGGTGGAACGACCCACCTTGGCTCCGACCAGTGTCGTCTTGATAACAGCCCCGAACAGCCACAAAACCGCCTTCCCCCTTAGGCGATTCCCTGGACCTTTTACCAAGCCTCCCGAGCCCTCGTCACGCTCGAGTTACAGGGCAGCACGACCAAACCCGCAGCTCCGACCAGCGTCGTTCCAGCTCGACTATCCGAAAACATAAGAGTGAAAGGCAGATAGCACAACATCAACCGAACTGCCAAGCAGCAGCTCAACGCGGATTTCAGATTCGCTGGCGCTGGACACGTTGGACTCCCACAAAAATTTAAGTAGTCAAGGACTTGACTTAAATTAGAACGCCACAACAAAACAAGGTGGGGTTATCCCCCCAAAGTCCCCCTTCTACCCTATGGACCCCACTTTGGCTGGACTTACCACGCCACAACGCAACCATACAATATTCCCATCCAAATGGCAAGCCCTTTCACCAACTGGACGTGTTATGCCCACCCAATGCATGCAGCCTCCCCCATCCTGACTCCAGATCATAGAAAATCACAAAGAATTTCTAAGATATCAGAAAATGAAAAAGGAATTTTAGGGATCTTCCTTCAGCAAGAGACAAATGTCATCATCAACCTGCAATATCCTACCCCCTTGGAAAATTCAGTCTCCGTCCTTAAAGAGGCAAATCATCATTGTCCAACGCCAATCGCACAAGGGCTACTCCTCCTCAGCCGGTACCCATCAAACAGCCCAAACTGCCCAACGCCAATCACATCTGATGAGAAATCCCCCCAGCTCTTACAGTAGGGTTACTCCTCCTCAACCGGTACTCATCAAACAACCTAAATTGCACAACGTCGATCACATCTGATGAGAAATCCCCCCAGGCGGTACCCGCCAAGCAACTCTGCTCCATCCCCTTCTCCATCCTTGCAAAAGATCATGACGTGCCCCCTGTCCACAACCTTAAGTAGATACGCAAAAAACATTTGAAATCTCGACT